AATTCGCCTTATTTTTTGAACAGACAGCGTACGTTACTATTGGCAAAAAACTGGGTTTTTATTGGGTTGAGAAATTAATAGGTTAGAACTCATTCCACAAACTGGTTGCAGTAAAACTAATCCAAAAATTTTTTGGATATATTTTAGTCGGTTGGAGAAGTTGAAATTTTCAGAGAAAACGTTTGAAATTTAATAAAGGTATGTATATTTTTGACTTGGTCTACTATCTAGAGTCTTCGGTTCATAATAAACAGTTTTCATAGCTATTTTTTTTCCAATGAGTCAATATTTGAATAAGTTTCCGTCAGTTTTGAAAGCTGATGCTTACACACACAGCATCCATTATAGAATAACAGACAGTGACCTTTCAGTCTGTGAAGAGATTATATCAGTAGTATAAGGCCGGATCGTGGATGCAATACATGAATTTTGTTTTGAGAAGAAGTAGCTGTTGCTTGAAAAGGCATCATGAATGGGATTGATAAAAAATCATGGATATCAAACATAAAAGGAAGCTCCCGCGGTGGTTCATTTGACGTTGGTCGTCAAAAAAAATCGCTTTCAGTCTTTCTTTGCAGTTTCTACTACAATCATACAACTAAATGATATTCGAGCTGAGAAGCGTTGAATCCCTGAGTACCTAGATGTCCCTGAGTCACCAGAGTCAGTCAACTCAATAAATTGTTCAATACCCAAATTTCCTGAAAAACTATTTTTGACAAAAAAAATAACTCGATGACTTTTTGAAAAAGTCAGCTTCTAGATATAATCAGGTTATAGATATAATTTCCGTCAGAAAAGAAATAGGTATTACATCAATCCAATCAACTTATCAATTTCAGGTTTCAGGTTCCAATGAAAACAGTATTGAGAGAAAAAGAGAAAAAATATTTTACTTTTTTTTAATGTCTAAAATGGCATCGTTAAAAAAATCACTTACAACTCCAAATGCCTGTGCATAACATTACAGCTTTTTTAACAATTATACCACGAGTAACACAAATTCATTCAGAAATCGGAATAAGTGAATCAATCAAAATATCAACAAGTATTTTGGCATGTGGGTAGGTACCACTCAAACTCGCCCGTGAAATACATTTTAGCTAGTTATTCGCTAGTCGGTATGTGACGACAACATATAATAAAAATAATACAAATTATACTTTATTAGAGAGAGGTGGTAGTCAAAAATAAATTCTGCAGTATTTATAGGTAGTCTCATTAGATATTCATGACAGATTTGAAAATTCCTTGCGGAGTTCTTTAGTACAGTCAATACAATTTTCATTTGACGTTTATTACATGGTATTTAGTAAATTTAGGGATATTCAAATCAAAGTGTACTTGATATAATGATGAAATATTTATAGAAATTACAAAAAGCTCAATTCGTGACAAATCTTCGTCCAAACAATATTTACATTATGTTTATGGATTTATTTGGCTTTCCGTACAAACCGACTGTGGTATCCATGATCGGGGGCAAGTAGTTTCACATCTTCAAACAGTATCGTGTGTCTATTTGACCTAATCTACAGTCTCTCCGATGTTCATTCAGCCTTGTACCCATGGATCTTTTGGTGGCACCGATATAAACTTTCCCGCAGGTGCATGGTATACGATATAGCCCCGCAGCTGATGCTGGATCTCTTTTGTCTCTCGCAGATCTAAGGCTTTGCTGTATTTTCCTGGTGGGTTTGAATACTGTTTTTATTTTATGCTTCCCTAAGATTTTTTCGATTATGTCTGTTACCCTAGGGACGTACGGTAGAAATGCACGTGCAACCATTCGAGTTTCCTTCCTATTTTGACTTGTGGAAGTCTTCAGTTTCATGGCCTTGTTGATCTCGGATACACTGTATTCATTCGATCTCAAAGCCATTTGAAGATGCTCCAATTCTTTTTTCTTTTCTACAGTTACGTTACGTCAGAGTGTTGATGATCCACTAGCAGATATAATGAATGGATGCTTCTCTACTGGAATATTTCCTGATGCATTGAAAATTGCAAAATTGTGCCAGTTTACAACAAAGGGAAAAAATGAAATATCAAACTATAGACTAATTTCTATTCTGTCAGCTTTTTCAAAAATAATTGAACGCCTCATTCACAATAGGCTATTGTCGTATTTTATTGAAAATGATATATTTGTGATGAATCAGTACGGTTTCCTCCCTAATAGATCCACTAAATCTGCAATTTATGATTCACTCAACCATATAATTGATCAACTCGATAAAGGCAATAAAGTAACTGATTTTTATTTTGACCTAACGAAAGCTTTTGACCTCATTAATCATGAGCTACTAATGCTAAAACTAGAACGCTATGGTGTTAGAGGAAAAGCCAATGATCTAATAAATACTTACCTCAGCAACCGAACACAAATAGTCGGTATCTCATCTAAAAATAATTTCAAATCTTCGGTATCCTACTCCGAAAAAGTACAAACTGTCATAGGAGTGCCTCACGGCTCCATATTCGGTTCAATTCTTTTCTTGAAATTTATCAACGACATAAGTCCCCAAATAGACATCAGCTCATTTTTTCTGTTCGCTGACGACATCTCAATTGTTGTGTCAGAGAGGGATATTTATTCTCTGAATGAAACATCTAATGTTACAGTGTCTCGAGTTGTTGAGTGGTGTGAAAAGAACTATCTCCTAATCAAAAAAAATAAAACCAATTATATACATTTCAGAAACGGTACGGAAGCCCCACTACATATCATAGGCAATTCCGAAATAGATGAAACATTTTCCTCTAAATTTTTAGGGATTATGATAGATAAAGAATTGCATTTGACTGATCAGGTGAAAGCAGTAATGGGTAAATTAACGTCAGCTTGTTGTGTCATAAGATACCTCAGGGATCACATAAGTAATGACAATATAAAAATGTTTTATTTCGCTTATGTCCATTCGGTGATTGATCATAGCGTAATATTTTGGTATCATGCACCAACATCCAAGGATATATTCATCCATCAAAAAAAAATCATAAGAACTATGCTTAACCTAAAAAATTATACCTCTTGCAGACAATTATTTTCTAATTTAGGAATTATGATTGTTCATTGTGCCTACATATATAATATTGCAATAATCGCTAAAAATACCTGTACAAGTTTCCTGCAAATGATGAATACATTTGCAATATGGTAACAAAAGGAAGTAAACATCTACGCATTACACTACATAGAACAAGTCTATTCGAGAAAGGTCCGTACTATAACTGTATAAAAATATATAATGCACCGCCTCCACATTTCAAAGAAATCAAAACCATGAGTATCTTCAAAACAACTTTGAAGGAATACCTGACTGAAAATCCCCTATATTCACTTGACGAATTTTACAATGTCTGTAAAGTGTAACGTGTGAGTTGAATATGCATACTTTCTTATATTTTTGTAACAGCCACAAATGAACGTACTAAGTGATGATATATATTTTTACATTTTACTTGTAATTTTGATGTAATTTTAAGTATTTACTTATTCATATGTGTGTTTGTAAATTGTAATTTTGTATTTGACGATGCTGATGTTTCATAGGAAACCCATGGCAATAAATATATATTATTACTATTGACTTGGATGGTTTTTCGAAAGTGAATGCAGATATCTGTCCATATGTAACGGTTTTCGATACACTTCATATGTCAGTCGTGTGCCACGCCTATCGACGAGTACATCTAGAAAAGATATCCATTGTTCCTGTTCAGTCTCCATGGTGAACTTGATGCTAGGGTGTTGAGCATTTATGTGGTCCAGAAATAGGTTCAGTCTATCCCTCCCATGTCTCCAGATGAAGAAGGTGTCATTCACGTATCGTAGCCAAATGGTTGGTTTTGGAATCCGATACTAAAAGATGCTGAAGTAGCAACAGCGCAATGCAATGTTAAAATAGTAACACTTCGGTCAATAGCAACGCATCAACAAGAGAGACGGACTACCTGAGTCAACATAAGTACAACCTACGAACTAGAAATCACCAGTCATCGGTGAATAATCAAGCTCATTTACCTTTCGAAACAGTTACTCTCATACGAAAGTTGAAATACACGAAAATCAGTTTTTCCAATCAGTATGTATACAAACATTCGTTGTAGAATTGAAAAAGAAATCAACCATAGGAACGCTACATAATGTCACTACTACGAAATCTACTATCATCCTCAGTGGTGTACTTTGAAGTTTCGGAATAAAGAATTTGTCTTAACACCTCGTCAGCACCTTTTTGCAAAACCAAGCACTCATTTCTTTCATAACATTATGATTTTTTGTTACCGGAAAAGACAAATCTGCTCTTGTCACGATGTACTTACACGAGTACACATTTATACGTTAATCCTAGTTAGTTAATCCTAGCCATAGAAACTTCATTTGAATTGAAAAGGGACTTCTTTTTTAATTTTTTTGGAAAAATGTATAAATTCAGTCATAATTTTATTTTTATATGCCGAGTAACCTAAATCGATTAGTATTTTCTTAATTTTGGTAATCAATTCAAGTCTTTGAAACTCAATAAGACTGATATAAATGATAATTAAAGGATTTGGTAGTTTGTATTTCATATAATTCAAAAACGTTTTCAAATTGCTTGGAATAAATAGCTATGAATGTCATGAATAATTGCTATATTTGAGCTGTATCATTTTAGGTGACTTACTATATATGTCAGTTTTCCTTTTTTTTGTAACCATATCCACTCTTGAACACACAAAAGTTATACGGCCATTTGCCTTATGAATTTTAAAATAAATATTTTGTTGATTTTTTCTACTTCATTGGTAGCATACTGAGAGGGTAAGCATTTTCCAAAAAGACCTCTATACTTTTCACAAAAATTTCTTAGCTCAAATCTATTATTAGCTGCTTTTACCTTTTTTCCAGTGAAGTGTATATCTGTCCTTCGCCTAGATAATCAAAACAAATTTAGTATTTTCAGTTTGATGAAGATTGAAATTGTGATAAATTTAATTCCACCTACTTATCATCTCTTGATAAGACCTAATTCGGCGACAAAAATGACTATCAGTACGCAGAAATATTTATCGATATGAAGGTTTTCCATGAGCAATTTTATGGTGTTATACAGCAAACAAACCGTTCTTAGTGATAATAATGTCAACATTTGACAAATTCATTGTTGTTATAGAAGCGACGTTGTAAATTAATCTTTAAAATGTTGTAAATACATTAAGGTGAAATAATTTTGACTGAAATAAATGTGTCACTGAAATTTTTGAAGCTTTGGCACACGATCATGTATGTTGAACGGTAGTCTATAAACAACTCTTGAATGTAAAATGTGTATTTGTTGATATTGATTTCGATATCATGTGCTTTTGAACATTCTATTAATAATTTCTACTAATGGCTAGTTTTCAATTCAACCGAAGAAGGGTTAGTGAAGTTGATTGTGTGTAAACGTTTTAACTGGAATTTGTGTACTGTTTCAGAGTTCCTCAATCAAAAAAGAATTTAGCGAAAAAGAACTTGAAGGTGAGTAATGAAATTCTTGTTCTAAACAAATATCGAGTGTAGTATGAACTTACGTTTACTAGAAACTTGATAACATAATAATACATTCAAAATGACTACACTGTTTTTTCTAATATGATTCGAGTATTTCATTGCGAAATTCCTATAGGTATATACCCACAGTTGGGATACTTGATACTAAAATATGTGGAAGGAGCAGTTCAAGGCAATCTGATATTGAATATCTTGCATATCTTCAAGAACGTGGAGGGGATTTTACAAATAAAATAAGAGAAAACTGAGGTTTTTTAAATTTGAAAATCAATGCTTTTGAAGATATTTAAATATTCAGAACACGTGGTAAAATAAAAAGCTGCAGTGTAGTTATTTTAGATGACAAATCGGGTTTAACTGTTCTTACAGATGACGTTTTCAGAGGAATGGGTATCATGCTCATATTTTTTTCTAACATATCTGAAACAACTTTCTTATTTTTGAGGTATCGAAAAAATCTAGAAAAATTCAATAACGAAATTATAAGCTGAACCTCATTTGAAGAATCAAGCGAGTCTTTCGTAGTCATGTTGCATTGTATTTTCATTTATTGATATTGCCATCAAATTACAGACCAATCTCGATTATTCCAATTTTTGCCAAATTATTCGAAGTCATCTCAAAAATCCAAATGACATCTCATCTCGAATCAGAAAATCTCTTCGTTCAAGAACAATTTGGTTTCAAAAAAAAGCATTCAACCACATCGGCTATTGGTAGAATGACATAAATAGCGAACAAAGGTTTCGAAAACAATGATTTTATCTATGCAAATTACCTGGACCTGACAAAAGCGTTTGACTGCACATGATACTTTACTCAAAAAACTTCAATATTCACGAAGAAAGTATCAACTTGATAAAATCTTACCTAAAGAAACGAGTCCAGTTCGTTCTCTTCCGAAATAAATAATCTTCCCTACCCAATATACAATATAGTGTAACCCAAGGGTCCGTTTTAGGACCACTGCTCTTTCATGTGTTAATAAATGACCTGCCCTATTCATCGCCACTATCAAAGTTTATAGTATGTGATGATGACAGCACGTTCAAACATTCAGGAAAAAATTTAAGCAACCTGAATTCCACAGTTGAAACTGAAAAAGAACAAATAGAACCATGGTTCCTATCGAATAAACTAAAAGTCAGTGAATTGAAAACAGAACATATGCTTGTCAGTATGAGAAATACTGGCGAAATTAGACTCGCATCCAAGTGTACCAATTTTTCAGGTGTTTACATTGACGAAAAACTGATCTGGCAAAAACACTGTGAATTTTTAGGTAATAGATTATCGAGCTTTAGTTTCTTACTAAGAAGTCTTTCAAAAATCATGAACTTGAGTACCTTACTCACAGCCTATCACGGCCTCATACAGGCCTCCATATCCTATGCTATTTTAGTATGGGAACACTCTAGCCATTGATCGCAAATCTTCAGTATACACAAAAGAGCATTGAGAGTTGTTTCTGGTTTGAAATATCGAGACGACTGTAGGGACAAATTCAAATAACGTAAACTACTCCCAAACTCATGACTACCCTACACGAAATCGTTAAAAAATCCAAGCCAATTACCTGAGGCTGCCTATTAGGCTATACAACGCCCTACCTGCGGAAGCCAAGGATCTTGAACTCAATAATTTCAAATTAAAACTCAAACATTCTCTTTTATAATACGCCTTTTATGATGTAAATGAGTATTTCAATGGTATTCTTACATTTCAGAAAAACTCAATTATACAAATTTTGACCTAATTTTAATGACTGTCAGACTTGTAATGTGTGACTTTATCTCCTATCACAAGCTCTTTTGTACCTATTATTTTTGTAATTGTTTTATGTACAACTTGAAATGACTTGTGTAAACACCCTTGTGTCCCAGCACCAATAAATAATTTGAAATTGAATTTGAATTTTGAATTTGAATTCAAATTGTCCATTTGAGAAAGTGTTTCTAAATATTTCTCCAAATTGAGTAGTTTCCTCTGAGAATATATTCATATTCCTGTGGTTTTCATGTATATAGTTAGCACCAGTTAGTTCATTTTCATGAATAAAGGCTAATGCCTTTATTCATGAAAATGGGTAACCATGTTTTATTGACAACATTTTTAAGTTTTCGATTGATTTCCTACCTACCGTAAAACTATATTAGATACACAAATTTAATACAGTGTAGTACAGATTATTATACTTATCGATCTTCCCGTGGTTCTAATATACACACTACCAGAAGGGTAAAGTATAGAGTAGAGTAGATGTGTTTCTTCCGGTTACACAAACTCGAAAAATACTTTGAGAAAACTGAGTGAATGGTCAATGTTATCGATGCTGATGAAAATTTGAAGACAAATGTTTCAGCGAAACTTCGAATTATACCTGGAGAATGAAAGTTCTCTATATAAGTGAGATTTTATATTGTAACTTTTTTGTGTAGCGGTCCTGTGGAAGATATTCGTTTCAATTCCATTAAGAAAGTTTTTGAAATTCAAACAAAAAGAGTGAAGGCAATTTCCGTGTAATTCAATGTTTATAAATTCGAAAGTAGTTGTTCCAGAAATGTTTTTTTTATAGTTTGTATTTGAAAAATACTTCTATGCGTGATCACACATCTTTTTGAAGAACTTTCCTTCTTCGGAAGTTTCCCAATTTCTATATGATGCTGAAGTAGTAGTACCGTAATAGAGAAACGCCATTATTTTACTCCTGTTTGAAATAGAATTACTATTATCGTTAACTGTCTTGTGACACGCAATTTAGTTATATAATACATGGTCAAAAGTGAACGGAACTCTTGTTTTTTTTTTTCGATGTCAACGGCACCGAGTATTATGGAAATCAGCCTCGTGTTCTGAGTACGCTTCTGTCTCTGTATCTGTAGAGTAGGAAGGGTGAGTGTAGGCCTCAGCACTTAGGCCATATATGACCCATCGTACATCCTCCCAAGGAGTTGTCTTCCTAGGTCATCGTCCATCCTGTTCTTTCCAGGATGGTGGACAGGTCTCTGGGAGACATCTTCTTTATTTCGGCAGCAGTAGGCCAAGACTCGCCGAACACACACTCTCTTATTGACGATAACTCCGGGTATTCGTATAGGACATGCCTGACAGTGTCATCTTCCTGTTCACACATCCTGCATAGAGGTGTGTCCACTAGCCCTATATTGTAGAGGTATTTCCTTAGTTGACAGTGGCCAGTCTGAAATCCTACTGTCAAGCGTAGATTTTTCCTGGTCATCGCCAGATATTTCTTCAGCGTCAACTTCCCAGGGTCGCCAAGGTAATCCTGGCAAGATTGCATCCTTTGATTATATTCCATCTCTTTAGGGATTGAGCATGGGTGTGACGTTTGGCTAGTTCCGCAATTGTCGAAGTCATCAAGCCGTAGGTGCCACAGGGTTCCAAAATTCTTATTCCAGCCGCTTCCTTGGCTAAAGAGTCGGCAATGCGATTACCTTTACTCCTGTCGTGTCCTTTAGTCCACCTCAGGATAATTTTATCTTCCGAGGCTTTGGCTGAATCTTGGTGATACTCTAGTACTAGCCTTTTGGTAACACGTTGTCTGTGCACTGCCGTCAGTGCAGATTGTTATGTTTTTGCCAGAAATTCCTTTCCTGGTTATTTCTGTTCAGTTCTGTTTGAACCACGCTGGTATTTTACCATTCCCCACTTAATCCGTAGGCTTAGTGATCTGGAGTACACTCCACATCCTAAGCCTCTTTTGTTTTTGAGCCATCTGTATATAAGCGTATTGCATTTGTAGCATCTGAATCTGTGTTCTGCTTTATTTGTATTTTGTAGGGTTTATTAAACACAAACCTGGGTTCAATTGCATCCCTGGTTGCCTCAAGCAGATGTTGCGCAGTAAACGCAGTAAGCGCTTCTCGCCATAGGCTCAGCCTCAATTGACCAATTCCCACTTCGAGGTTTACACCAGCCGTGCGCAATCGTAACATGGTCATTAACGCAACCTCCTTAAAGTAAAGGTCCAGAGGCGTCAGGCCAATAATTAATTCAATTGCCGCGGGTGGTGTTGTTCTCATGGCTCCTGTGATGTTTAAAAAAGCCAATCGCTGAATTTGATATAATTTTTGGATGGCCGTTGCTTGTAGAACTTTCGGTCCCAATGCAATGGATCCATACGTTAACATAGGTCTTATTATTGTAGATCCAGATGACCACACAAGGTGAAAGACCCCATACGCTTATCTTCATATCTTTCTAAGCATTATGGCTATTCGAAATATAGCAAAATCAATGCACCTTCAACCGGATAAAATTCTCGCGAGGAAAGTATCTGGTAAAAGAACCTAGGTACTTCTTTGGATCGTGAGTCGGGCACATTACTACTTGTGCTGATTTACCGCTACAGTAGTCTTGTTACCGGAAAAACTATAACCATGGAACGTGGAAGTGATATTCAGTACCCATAATCGGAAGTATTCTGACTTAAAAGTATTTTATAGAAATCATTACGGTGCAATTAGCTCCCAAAAATAACGATGTATCATTAACCTTAACCTTGATTGGCAATTTATTTTTGAAAGGTGGTTCTCTGGAACATTTCAATTGCTAATGAATAACCTACAAAATATTCAAAACACCTGGATGTGGGCCAGATTATTTTTAAAATTCGAATATAAAATTATTCCTGATGTGTCAACAACAAATTCGCAAGTTATCACAGATCTTGTTTGAATGTCCAATATTTCATTAATGTAGGCATACTTGTATTACTTGTTAAATATATCTATTTCTCGGTTATCATACCGTTGAAATATCTGATCAGTTTGATAAAAATTATTTCTGAATGAAGTTGAGTACTCTACGGAGTACTACAGTATTTTTGTCCCCGAAAGCAGGGACAAATGGAGAGGTTAAATCAATGACAAGGATAGTTTTGAGAGACAACACAACAGCAGAACTCGATCTTAGAATTCAGTGAACATAGTAAGCAAATTATGGAGAATACTGTTTTACAAACCTTTATTTGTGGGGAACTAAATGACCAGATTATTGTACAATCTAAAGCCTAAATCACAAATAATCATTAACAAAACTAGAAAAATATGGAATTAGAGGTAATATCTCAAAGTATTTCAGGGATTTCAATTCAATTTATATCATATTAGACAATGGAAGTCCGAACTGATGAAATGCAAATATGATCCCATTTAGAACAATTTAACAAGGAAATACCAAGCACAATTAATCTGTCAAATAATGAACTTGAAGTTCAGAACTCAACAACATTTCCTCTCCATATTTTCTAATAGCAAAACGTTCCTATCCATCGTTGATTCATAAGAAAATCAATTTACCAACAATAAATATAATTAAACAAAGTTTCAGCTAAATTAACTGAATATAATTTTCATAATATTATCGAAACAAAATCTGTGACATGAATTTTTGATTAACATAGCTTTTTCCTTAATGAACCAATTTCAATAAATCATACATGATTGTTGAGTGAAACTTACCACAACACATTATTGAAAACCGTACCCAAATTAGTTAAGAGTTTACAATATTAGCGCTCATAAACGCACAGACAAACAAACAGCGATCAATTCTATTAAATGTATTGATTATTTTGAAAAAAGTTAAATCAAATACGTTACAGTAGCAGAGTTGTTGATTCCTATACAGATGAAAAATTACTGCAAATTACAAATTTCGAATCCTCAGTTAAATTTGTTGCAATACTCAATACAATAGATATTTATTCATTATCCAGAAAATAAGTTATGTGAGCAATTTTCAAAGTGAACTTTCGTCAGTCAGTTCGTAAAATTTTCAAAGCAAATGATATTTATGAGAGTGTGGTTGGTATGCCTATTATCACCAGGTTTAGTGTCGAGTACTAATGGACCAGGGTCGATCATTTTTGAAACCAAAAAAAAAATAACAGTAGGATGAAACCCATTTGAAGAAAAGGACGGGAATATGATAAAAATGAAAGAAAAAATGAATTACGGCCGATCTGATTTCGGAAAGTCGGAGGGGGTGAGTTTATCTCGATTTCCGGAAGTCCTATGGAAAAAAAATCGACAAAGTTGTAGTTAATAAAAAGATCTACAACTTTTGTGATCACAATTTTTTCACATAACCTCAAAATTTATGTGAAAAATTCAAATAACCAAGTTTTTGGTTTTTTATTTTTATCTTTTTCAATGAAATTCGGTGAAAACTTACCTTTTTATGTCCCAAATACACTGTAATTTATTTGATTCAAAATATTTATTTTTTCGCCTTATTTTGACTCAATACCAAAAAAACACCCTAATATACATTACTATGGTAAATGTGATACTTCATTCTGATGAAGTTATTAATTATAGAATTCTTAAAAACGTTAATCTTGTTATTTATAAATACCTTCTCTTGAATTTTAGTCACTTATCGATAAGTTTTTGTCTCTTTGATTGCATTTCTTCATCGTTAGATTCGACAAACCTTTCCAATTCTAGTTTATCTTCGAAATCTTCAAGACCGCCTCTTCGTCTCCAATATTATTTCCAGTCTGCATTGGTCTTTCATCTGAATCATTAACTTTCTCGTAGGTTTTTTCTTCTATATTGAAGCAATTTTCAGAACCATGACAATTCGAGCATAAATTTGTGCATTTTAAGCCATGTTTTCGACAGCCACATTTTGAACTGTTACATCCAGTTTCACAGCTGCAGCAAATAGTTTTAAGCAATACTTCCGGAATTAATTCATTTTCTGTAAATTTGGGCATAATAATGCCACGTTGATGTTGCTTCCAGCCCAATCTGTTGCTGTCAGCTCGTTACCCAACCAAGTTTGAAGCTGATAATATGACCTGTAACAATTTGTTTAATTGTGATCCATTTTTTCATATCTTCTTCACTGGCATCTTTCTTAAAAAAAACATTGGCCAAATTCGACAAATTTTAAGTGTCTAATAATGAATTTACGATACTTTTTGAGGGTTTATGTTTGAAACTATAAGACTTGAAAAATAGATCCTTTACATTTCCAGAACCTGGTTTGAGAAAATAAATGTCATGATTATTTGAATTTAATTAATTTAAAAGGATCAAAAGATCAATATTTTAACCCACAACAATGACAGTTTTATTAGTATCTCTGGCAATTTCTATCGAGGTCTTAATTATGTCAGCATCAGCATCTTCTTCTACTTGTTTATAGGAAAACCCTTGTAACTGTAATATTTTCATTAAAGTTTTTATTATTTTGCCCTTGTTTTTCTCGTTAGATAAAAACTTTTCTTGCAAAGATGGTATTTTTGTATGGTTTTGGTTTCTGCCAAATTACTTTGTGCAGTAAAAATCCACCGTCAACGACATGCACTACGCAGTCAGAATGCGTTGGTCTTTTCACACCCACAAATAATTCGTAGAGTTGAGATTTTACATTTGACAGTGACAGTGACAGTGGAAAAGGTGCAAGCTCGTGTTGTTAATAAGTTTCCATATCTTTTTTACTGCAGATCGTTAACGATATCATTTGAAATAGCAATAATGGATCGATGGCTATAATATCTCCGTTTACTTTAGCGGAAGATTGAACCGTTTTTAGAGACAAGACTTAGTTTTTCCTTTAAAATTTTATACTGCCAAAATTAATTCCAACAATAGCTTGCAAAACAGCAATAAATAGGCATCTACAAATATTATTTAAAGAAGATTCTACAACTTTCTCAAAATATTGTAGATGTCTTATCAAATATTAACCATATTGACCTATTTGTTTGTTAATTATAGTAGTAACTATATTCGATTTCAATACAAGATAACTATTGAATTTGAAATAATTTACTTTTTAGAAAATGTTTAGTGTTCCATTTAAATTGTCGATCAAGTTTCAGTGGTAACCATTGCTTTTTGGTAACTTTTTTCTCGATATCACTATTTATTGAAAGGAACGGTAGCAAGATCTACTAAAAGGTTATATATGTTTAGCAACAAGTTGCTTCCATTGAAATTTAATTTTCTGCTAGATATGGACAATAGAGAAGGTTTTGGAAAAAAAATATTCAATAGCTTGATTTTCTTCCAATGCTTGTCAAATTCTAAGCACTCTTGGTCATTTCTCTGGTTTTTACTATAATGTGTCATAATTTGTCATTATTCATTCCACTATCTATTTTTGTTTAAAAAGTTCAATTCAACAAAACAAATCTGATGTTCTCTACTTCCTCATTCTCCATATGTAAACGGAGAAGTAAAAAATCAAAAATACTCCACACTGAATTTTTAAGGAATTGGCGAGATTTATGTTGCAGCTGATAAAAACCTTTGCATCCATATATTTTTCATATTTCTTTGTTAAAAGGTAGTTGTTTCAAAAACAGATGATTCATATAAGTCAGTACTTTGTACATTGGTATTCATTTTTAGAACATATTTTTCATTGCTCTTAATGATTTGGATTATCACCCATCCAGTATCTCATACGTGGCTGAAAGAAATGAGTTCGAGTATTATATTTATACGAGTATAGTATTTTCAGTGTTTACCGAATTAGCTTTTGGCTGGAGGTAGTACTCGAGTACCGATCTGTTGATTTTGTCGTACAAATATAAAATGTCAATTTAGCATATACGAGTATATTTTAACGTCCAGCTTGAAACTCATTCGATGCTACAGTACAAAACAAAGAAAGAAAACAAAATAATGTTTTTAGGACTGAAGACAGCTTTCCAATTATTAGACAGAAATCAAGATGGGAGGGTTACACCTGGTGAATTCAAAATAATGCTGAATAATTTGGGTATTGAAATAAAATATCAAAAGGCTGAAGAAATTATAAGAAGTGCAAGCCATTCGGGTACGTATAAAACGATAAGATGAATATAGTTGTGGGAGGCATGTGTAAGGGTAAAAAAAGAACTGGCTCACACATATTTTCCTAAGACTTCTTAAAATTCAAAGCCTTAACAATTTTTTTCATATAATGTCAATTATGCTTTGCCTTTGGGCTTTCATTTCATCTAGTTGCCTTTGATCTTTCAGGATTGATTCTTTTGTCGATCCTATAGATGGCATCTTCATAAGTGTATATGTCATCGTTTTCACTTCCTTAGAATTTTTCTTTATGAACAGTTGTGTTAAGCAATGCATTTGTAGTTCACTGAGGAGACATATGACGGTTCGAAATGGCGTTGTTTGGTGTGTGATTACGAATGCTTTGTCTTTAGGCTCTGGTTTCATCTAGTTTCCTTAAAGTGAGAAACAGAGGAAATGAATCCCGTTCGGCGGTCGATCTTGATTCTTGTTCTTGCAACGGACCATTTCAGGGACTCTTGTTTATATTGATATTCGAGGACTGAGTCTTCTGTCGATCCCATAGACAGCGTCTCCGTACAGAGAGTTGTCATTTCCTTCATTTATTAGAAAACCAACTTGATAAAGGAGAATTATTCAATTTCATCTGGTCCTTAAGCAAATGTTACTTGTTCTTGAATCTATCATCAGTTTCTAAATATTCCAAAAGATTCAATATATCTTAGTTGTGGAAGAACTGATGCTTTTTTTTAACAAAAGGTAAGCACCACAGGAATATCTTTAAGAGCGGTGTCTGTGCAAAAGTAGCGATTCACATTGGATTTGAATCGCTGGAGATTAAATCCATTTGGAAAAACGTTCTCAGGAAGTGTATTCGACTTAAACGCAGTTCTGTGAATGAAAGAGTTCTCAAACAGTAAAGTTCGAGGTGTACTTAGTTGAATCTCAAAACGATGAGCAGCCACAGTCCATCGCGTATTTCTGATATGTACCACTCTTGATGGAATCAACTGTGCCAAGTCACTTGAACACAACACTTCCATGAAACTATTTATAGAAGAGAGACAAACCCCCGACCTTTCTTCGATGTTCCAGACTATCAAGGTTGCAAGTGATGTTCGCGTCTCTAATCAGGAAAATAGCTCTTTTCTGGATGGAATCCACCAGCTTCAGGGTACGCTTAGGGGCGGAGCTCCATACATGAGAGCATTACTCCAAAGATGATCTGATCTAAGCTTTATAAAACATCAAAAGTTGCTGAGGTGTTTACAGTTTTCTGGTTTGGAACTGGTTCCAAGCTTCTGGGAAGCAACCTTTGCAATTCCAACAACATGATTGTGCCAAGACATATTGGTGTCCACTTTAACCCCCAACAAACTTATCGAAGCATGAAGCGAAATTGTCTGTCTTGACATTAGTATATCCGGTTCGTAGACATTATCTTTCTGGAGAAAACCGATGCCTAAGTTTTTGTGTCATTGAATTGAACCTGATTAGTTTCACCCCAATTCGAAATCACTTCTAGATATGCAACCTCCTGCTGCCGATGAAGATGTACATCCGTAGCCGATGTCCTGGAATCCAAATGGAATAACGAGACAAGTTTGCTGTCGTCAGCAAGGCAATATATTGGATTTTGTTTTTTTTCAATAATTCGTTGATATACAATAAAAAGGGGGTTGGAGACAATATGGATCCCTAGGGAACACCAACGTTGATGGTAAAAGTTTTCGAGAGATATCCATCGACGGCCACTTGCAAGAAGCGTTCTTTCAGAAAGCTGGAGAGCCATACTCAAAAATGATCTGACATGCCACACACGGTCAAAGGCTTTAGAAATATCAAGCGCAACAGTTCTTGACTCTCCATGTTTCTCGATTGCGTTATTCCAAATATGGGTGACAAACGATAGAAGACCAGACGCCTTGTTGATATTGAGCTGTTTCAAAATTCGCAAGGCGTCTGGTTCTGATGAAGTGCCCGTCATCGTACCTATAGAGTTCGCAAATGAACTCGCACCAGTATTTTGCAGACTTTGCCATAAAATGATTTGAAAAACTTCATTCTTTTGAAGAGTTATTCTCATTTGATCAATATAGAGTTTTGGAAAAGAAGCGTAAGTTACTGATCTATCCTGAAGTTTCATCTTTAGTTCATCTCCTGGTGATGCCAACTTGGTGAAACGCGTTTCGAAAAAGTATTGCAGAACTGTTATGTTTTCGTTGGATTCGGAACATTTATGTGTTGTATAACATATTCAAGAATAAATTATTAAAAATTTAAACTTCCAAGGCTAAACGATTGTTTGAAAGATCTTTAATATCGAGATTTTAGAAGTGTTCAAACAGGAAAATGAGAACGAAAAAGGATTTGAATAATTTATTTAGCACGTTTATAAAATGGAAAAAAATATATTTTATCTTGAAGTAGATTTTCACTAACTGAGAAAGAAAGACGAACAATTTTCAAATAAACAATATTGTACAATAATTAAGTGAAGTATATTTTTTCTCTTAGCGCCGTTTCTGAGCCAGAATACATAATACGATTTTTGATATTCCCAGTAAATGTTTACACACGTAGAGATATAGTCAGTGATTAAGTTGAAAGGATCATTTAGAATCATGCTCTTTTTTGTATTAGACTTCCAAAACAAAACGTTTTGTAGGTTTATAGATTACAAAACAATGACTTTCAATGTTATATTATTAACATAGATCAGGAGGAAAGAGAAAATGATTTCACAGGGAATGAAATATTCGGTTGAGCTCAGTTAAAAATAAATGTAATGTCAAAACAATGACCGAAAAGAAATAGCAAAAATTTTAAGAACAGTAACTTGTGAAGAAACCAAACTATTGTGACCTGAAATGGAAAGGAATTCATAATAAGATAAACAATAAGTGAAATTTCAATTATATGTCAACAATAAAAATATGAAATGGGTATATATAAAATATGAAATATTCAAGATGAGTCATGAAAATACACAAAAAATAAGAATATAATTGACCACTTATTGTTTGTTTCAGGACACAATATTTTTTTTACAAATTAGCGTTATTCTAATTTATTGCTATTCTTTCTTACTCGATTTTTTGACTTACTTTCGAACCGATTATTTTTAATATTTTTGATAACTTCAATATTCAATTCAATTTTATTTCATTTGTTCATCCATAGACTTCGTAGTAGTTAACATCAATTTAAACAATGGAAGTCCAAACTCGTAAAATTAATTTAATAAGGTTATGTAAAAAAACCTAAATGTACGAGTATTTTTCTTCTGACCTCTATACTGATTGTCAGTTACTAGTAACTTTGTTTTCTTCTCCAGGTATTGACATAATTGATCAAAACGACTTCTTAAGCTTCGTCAAAACAATTCAGCAAGCCACCCCAGGACCAGAAGATGAAGATTTAACGAGGGATCTAACAGCAGCTTTCAAAGTTTTCGATCTAGATGGAGATGGATTCATTACCAGGGAAGAACTCAAAGTCGCAATGGAAATGATAGGTGAAACAGTAACTGACGAGCAAATCGATCAAGTAATAGTATTGGCCGATACCGATAAGGATGGTAAAATCAATTACGAAGGTACATGAGACAAAATTTTCATTTAACAAGAATATAAATGAATGATAACGAAGTGCTCAAACTTATAATGCCTGCCAACAGTTTATCATTATGGCCTTCTTCGAGCCACAAAAATGATTGTTTTGACGATTACTAGGTAATAGGTACCGTAATAAAACGAAAATAAGACTTAATTTTTTCCACATTGTATGAAACAACATATAACAGAAAAATAAATGAATAATAACGTAGTGCTCAAACTTATAATACCTGCCAACAGTTTCTCATTATGGCCTTCTTCGAGCCACAAAAATGATTGTTTTGACGATTACTAGGTAATACCGTAATAAAACGAAAATAAGACTTAATTTTTTCCACATTGTATGAAACAACATATAACAGAAATGCCTGAAGTGAAAATTATACCCATCTACCCTGAATGTACATCTGAAATGATAATCTAATAATAATAAACGTTTTCATTGCTACCATTAGGTTAGGTTAAGTTAGTTCCAAAGGTCCACCGCAACCCGCAAGGGTTTATTATGGCTCACACCTATTCACCCTCGATCAAATAAACTCATCTTCTTAACGAAGCCGATTAGTTTGTATGATTGCTTGATTGATAATATGTTTATTGTATAAGAATAAAATTTATGTTACAAACACAATGTTATAAATAATTATCAATATAAATATGGAGTATAAGATGTGAAGTATAAATGTATACAATGTAAATGATCAAAATAAAATATAAACTATATAAACATACATATGCAAAGGTTACATGACAAGAACTAGGACAACGAATAAAAATATGTTTTTCACAACAGTACAATCGCAGTTTTGTCACATTCTAAATTACAGGACATCGTCAAAATATTCTTGTAGGTCATAATAGGCTTTATCACTTAATAGGTTTGTACATTTCTTACTGAATATGATGAAAGGAGTCTCTGATTTCATTGGGAGTTGTCTTTCAGGTCAGATGGTAAGAGTACGGCTCTGCTGAACTTTAAAAACCTGATTCGGTCCCTAGCAGGGCAGGCACACAGTATATGCTCTGCTCTTCCGACAGTCCGAGTTTCTGCATATGATGATTCAAATGACAGTGACCTGTGAGAAGGCCTGTTAGACATCGTAGTTCATCCCTACTGTAGTCCAACAACTGTTTAGTATCAACCTTCAAAAGGTGAATAAACGCCTTGGACTGAGCCAATTCTGAAATATTCTACCAAGGTCCGTAAATCTTCTTGTCATCCAGGTGTTCAATGTTTGTTTGGCAAAGTGTAAAGCGATACCAATGGCAAGTTCTGGTCCGATGAAGCTGCTTGCAGCACCCTCCTTTGCAAGGGAGTCAGCAGCCTCATTGTCCAGGCCAGAGACAATATGTTGAGTCTTTCTATCGAGGACAGTCGTTTTTGGCAATTTGCTACCAATTTAGACGTTGCTCGGTAGGAGCCAACAGCTTCCAACGCCGCTTGACTTTCCGAGAATATTTTTATTGACTTGTGTATAAGGTTGGATTCTTCCAATTTCTCTTTACACTATTCAATAGCGTAAGTTTTCTCTTGAAATACAGTCGCATAGGTTCCTAGGCAGGTATATATCTCTGTCCTGGGTCTGCGACTACAACACCTTCACCAGAACCGAAAGGTGTTTTTGATCCATCTGTGAACCAACAACTATCTGCTCTTAACATTTCCTTCTCCCGGAGGATCCAGTCCTCTCTACTGGGGAACAGTACTTTATAAGCCAGTTCGTAGTTGACAGTTGGAGGCATAAAGTTAGAGGGCATTTCCTAAATGCAACAGTCTGTTGCACTCTGCATTAAATTGATCTGGGCAATTGGCAATGTGCACAAGTCTGTATGCAGTCCATCTAACCCCTCTCTTCAGAAAAAGGTGGAGAAGAGGTAGATCAAGAAGGATCTCCATGTCCGCTGACGGTGTGGTACTGATGGCACCACTGATGGCCAGATAAGCCTGTTTCTGTGAGCCAGAGAGCTTCGTCTGGGCCGTTTTCTGTAAAGCCTTCGGCCACCAGGCAATTGCACCATAAGTGATCATTGGATTCCAGTGGATTTGTTTGGGACCTAAACTCCCAAGTTTTACCACAAATCCTTCGACATATTCATAGGGACAGTCCTGCTTTGTGTAAAACTTTTTCGAAGTGAGCGTTCCACTCAACTATATGATGGGACTAGTTGCAGTAACTAGTTCCAAGAGAGAAAAAAGTAAAATAAAACAATAACATAAATCTGACACCAATGATCAGAACATCACAATCCACACATGACAATGAAAATTATTAAAAACGAGTGATCTATTGTTTAAGACCCATCTAACATACCGTCTCTGATCTTAGTTTTAAAGTAAAAAGAAGATACAAATGCTTCAGTTCACCAGGAATACAATTACAAATTTTTGCGATATCATGGGAAAAGCTGAAATTATAAAGCAAGGTTTGGTGCATGGGTACCGGACATTCGCATTGTCAGCCTCGGAAGGACTTCGAATTTTTGTGAGTAGATATGAAGGTTACTTTGTCAAAAAAATATACACAGACAATCACTCACTGTTACATGACATCTAGCAATGATGTCAAGTAAAGAAATTCATCATTGATATTTCTATTCTTGGAGCCCTACAGCGAAGGAGCGTTAGATTACCTCTGCCGGCTGAGGTGTCACTTGTAGGCTGAATCTAATTCGTTTACTACTTTTTTGATATAAAAAAGATGTGAAGTTATTCAATACACAAATAGTTAAAAAACAGTTCATCCCCGAACAATAATGACAACAATAATCATGAATTACTTACTATATACATATTTACACATATACATTTTTACATGTATGTTATTGTCGAATAACTGCGAATATCTGAGTTTTTCGCAGATATTCGCTGTTATATTCGTACAGTAATATTTTCAATATAGCATTTCATTGTCTTTGAAGGACGATGAAGGCTTTGGAGGCTATGTTCAAAATCAATCGTATAACTTTGGTTAAAGAATACCCGGCTACATTTCGTTGCTTGTCCTCAAGTGATAATGTTATAACATAAACAACTAATTGCTAAATGATCGAGAGCATTAAACATTAACTGGTGATGCTTCGCTCAGGGTATACTCTAGTCTGCAAATATCGAAAAATGCTTCGTTTAAATTTTTGCTCTGGTAATTGATTTGTTAACAGGCTGTTAACAGACCGAATCCCCTCAATGTGGCTCACAACAAAACGTCGTGAACAAAGGTCTATGTAACCATAATTTATAAACCCCAAAAAATTAAAATAAAGTTAGAATAAAATTATGAACACTTTTGTAATCATTTGCTAGTGGAGGATACGCTCGATATTTGGATCAATAAATCGGTAAAATTCTCCTAAAATCTCATAAAACTATGGCATATCAATATTATGTTAAGAAAATAAAAAAATTAATAAATATTAATGAACTGCTAAAAATGAAATTCATTTGATATGAAATAACTAAAAAATGCACCCATAAATCCCATCACATTAGATCTTTGGAAAATAAATACCTACCTATTATTAATTATCTGGTTATTCATTATTATAACGTAAAATTTATGAGAAACGTCAAATAGTACGTAAGTAGAAAGTACAGGACCTATAGATTATTTTACGATACACAAAAATTAGTATGTAGTAAATTGATAGTTCTGCAACTATCAATTAGAAACTTTTTTTTGTATTTTTGAATGTAGTGAACATTTCAATTCGCTACAATTTCATGAAGAGATTGCACTTTTTAGCATTTAATTATGCCTTGAAAATCTTTAAATTATTTTCTTGGATTTCTATTTTATCATATTTTTCAGATTGCGCAAGGTGAAAATATACAAAGAAGGTCGATAAATATGTCACATTCTTCATAGTTCATATTGTAAACAACAAGTGTTGTTTCTTTATACTATTTATTTATTGAATATATTTCCAATGAAGCTGCCAGACTGTGTGGTCTACCTATGAATGAATCGAACCGACAATGTAGCTCTTTAGTTTTCTGTTACGTAGTCCGGTCAGTTTAGATATTCGAGCTACCTAAATTCCCACCAAGCTGAAAATCATTGAGATTNCCAAGTTGATATATATATATATTATGATATCTTTATATCATTATTATTTTCATCAAATAAAATATCAATTGATGTAGATGTTACTGAAGTTCGACGACGTTGTTCTGCAGCTTTACTATTTCTCGTGCAATCATTATAGCCATCAAATACGATAGTAACTCTGGAACCAAAATGTCGACGTACATACTGTACGTATTTATCTAAGATAACGGTAAATGTTTCTGAGCTATCACACTCATGCATATTATGACGATTACAACTTTTACAACTTTTTGAATCGTTATATCTCGAAAACGGTGGCTCGTAGGAAAAAAATTATTGATACATTTTTTGTAGATAATTTTATGATCTACAATTGTTGTCTGAAGTTATTTTTAATCATATTTAAATCAATTTTACTGATTAACAACTTGGTGGGAATTTAGATAGCTTTACTCTTATTTTTTGGTCTAAATTGACCGGACTACACATACTCTCTTCCAATAATGCATTTTGTTGCGGTCTTGAGGATAGTCTAATACTTATGGTGCCAAATCTCTGTTGTTCTCAAAAAGAACAACTTCTAAATTTATTTTGGGAAAATACTTGGATAAATAAAAATTTCTTCACTTTTCTCATTGTTCTAAAGATGGTGGCACTTTTTCGGAAGGTAGCGTTCCTGCCCATTGATATATATTAGAAATTCAAAGAAATATGACAATTAATTTTTTTTTCAGAATTCGTCAAATTGCTGACTTCGTGAAAGGAAAAAATTGAATACAGGTATTATAATGTATAGGTTTATTATTTAGAAATAATACATGTTGAGAATGATGAGAAAGATACTATTCCAGTATTTATCATAAATTAACATGGCTGTGATCTTTTGCGATCATGAGATCATTGCCTTACTGACTGAGAATAAATAGTATTTAGCAACATGCGAGTATTTTTATTGATTGTAGATTGGACCTATAAGGTCCAACCAGTGTAAGGAACCACATGTTAAAAGGTAAGACCTCGTTAGTCCTCAGTTCACACAAGTTTCGAATTATGAGAGTTGTCGTTTGTAGGGGGGAGGGACAGCTGGTTAACGGAAAAATAGACTTTTTTAAGATTTTCAACTTGATCCTTTTGCAGATCAGAGCTTAGATTTCCCTGAAAAAAAAATTGCCCGAATAAAGTGCTTGTTTAACATTGATATATTAATAAATGACACATTTTTAATCAAAATCATTTAAATGGCTGAATTTTGTGAAATGGAAACGTTTCATTTGCCATATTAATGTAAAATAAATTTTATTGTCATCACTTTGCAATTATTTGGACAAAATGTTGTTTTTTTTAATAATTTTATCTCTACTTATTTCTTCCTGAAATAATTGTATACTGAATATTTGCTATTATCTGTATTTATCTAGCTTATTGAAGAAAAATTCATTTATTTATCAAAATATATATTACGCATGGGGAATAACGCCGACACTCTTGATTTCTCCCATTTCTGTTGACGGATCAGTCTCATTTGGTCAATGTTGTTGGTTATTGATACACGAGCAATAACCATTACATGAGAGTTGCAAAGGCTTTTTTTTCTAAGCTATAAATAGTCTGTGTTAAAAAATTCGTTTCATTTGCAGTTAAACAAATATTTCCGTCTCATAATTTCATACACTTTTCGTTTAAGAAACCCAAATAACAGCAACGTTTTTTTTTTCTAGGCAGTAACAGTAGTGGCAACTCTGTTTGTTGGATTTTCCCATTTTATAGAGGTGAAACCTCAGTCGCCAGTATTTTGTAAGAATTCCCGTTAATGATATCAGGCTTTTTTCCCTATCGCCAGAAACTTTGGCAATAGATTTATCGACCTTTTCGCAGAAAAATCTACAGAAAGATCCACAAAATAATTCTAGAGCAGTAAAAAAAGTATTGACTCACTCCTTTGCCAGAACAACAGCTTCCTCCTTTGTGATCTGGTATCCACATCAAGAATTGATAACAAAAATTCATTGAAACGTAATGTACGAAACATAAGTTGTGCTGCAGGTTTGATACCCCTTCTACCTGTAATTTCCTCTGTAAATCCCGAGACTTCTATGAAAATCTTTTCATAGATATCCTCATAAATGTATGTCATCGAAATTTCCTAGATAGCACAATAATCATAATTTTCTGCATGATTATGACATCCATGACAAAGTTATACTAAACGCAATAGTTAAAGAATATTTAATGGTGAACAATATTTTGAGCAAAAACAAAATAACAATTGATCTTAAATTTTATGCATGATACAACCTATCCAAAGCACAAATTATTATGTAACGTCTAGGTACTTGAATAATGACAAATACAATTTTTAGCATGCACATTTTTATTCCTTGTTGATTCCTGGAGAAATATAGACAGGAATAATTAAATTAATGACGGCAATGAACATTCTAAATATATTCTAGGTATATTTGCTCTGAATTAAGATGATTAAGTTGTCTGAATTCTTTCAAAATTCACAAGTTGTTTGTCGAGTGGTGTGCATTGGCATCACTGCCAATTATGAGTTGGCTATCACCAGGTCGTACACAGCCCTGCTTGATGACGGTTCCTGACTTTCGTAAGGAACGACAATTTCTTCAAATCCTCTCTAATCACCAATCTTCAGTTTGACTAACCTCAATCCTTTCTGACTCTCTCAATCTCATGAACTTTTCCCTAGGGTTTTTTCTTTGCATAATCCTTGTAAGGACCGCCGAAGCTCCCTAAGTGTGTTGTGGGTTGATTGGTACTACTCTCATTGCGAGTCACTCGAAGAGTCCTCCTCCTTCCCAGTGGTTCAGCAAGTCCCACTCTTATGGGGAAAGGGTTGTCCACATATATGGGGCCTCCTGTATGGATCTGAGGCTAAATACTCTGGGAGGTCGCCTGTACCCCAGAGACTCCGTTGGTACTGCTTCATAAAGCCCAGACACCCTTCAACCTTAGGTATAAGTCGCATGACACCATTGGATTAAGCCCTCTTTTCAGTTACCTCTTAGAACAGTCAAGGTTCACCGCGGTCTTATTCTAACCCCCGGTGCTACAGGGGAGCTACCCTTCTTCATCTGACTTCTCCCTTGACCCGTCTAGCTTGAGAGGCCCTACCATGAAAGTACGCAAACCGCACCACACAATACCAGTCTTTATGTTACTGTTGTCTGTTTTATTTGTGATGAGACCATAGACTTGATACAAATTACGTGAGACGTGAGAATCAGAACAAAAATGTTCAGATTTATTTTCACTCATGTATCTGAATACTGCTTCTGATTACAATGGAAAAGTACATCCCCCTCTTCATTTCATTGAGTTCCAAGTTGTCATATTTCAATATTTGCATAGCCTCTTTACTTGATTGCATTTTTTGAAGTAATTGTACATGATTATTCAGTTTTTCAGTATATTTGAAAAATAAATGTGTCTTGAAACGGAAACAGTCGTTCTTCAATAAGAAATAAATGTATCCAACTTGGTTCTCTTCAAATTATCAATTGTACTTATGGTGACTCATCTCAAGATTCGTTTCGAAAATTACGGTTGTAAGTCAGCAACGTTCTTTGCAATACTGTAAATAGAAACAACTTCACACCAAAAAAAGAGCATAATTATTTTCAAAAATATCTACTTTGCGTACTGTTAGCATTCAGTTTCAGAAACTACAATTGTAGGCATCAAATATAGAAGATAGGGAAATGATTTGTTGACAACAAAATCAAAAACTTTTTCGTTGAATAAATTTTACTTCAGCTTACACCATTATAACATTATAAATTCAAAATTAAATATGTTTTCAATAAACTTTG